AGATTTGTATACCCATTCTGCCACATTTACAAATGAACTGATGTATATATGTTGCTGGTTTCTTGTAACATTCATCCGTTAATTCCTTGCAGATAATTTAAAATGAATGACATGAATAACAGCTCTTTATAACAGGTTAGAGCTACAATGTATCATCTTGTCTCAAAATAAATAAATGAAAAATTAATAAGTTAATAAAGTAATTAAAATGCAGGCTCTGAATTCAGACATATGAGTTTAAAAATTGACCCATTAACTGTTAGAACCTCTTGGTATCTCCATTTCCTCATCTTATAAATTTTGAGGATTAAGTCAAGTTAATTTTGAGGATTAAGTGATTTGTTTTTTCATGATGTACCTGAAACAATACCTGGCACATAGCATTTAGTTCTCATTATGTTTTTCTATCTCTTCTCCCTTGGGCCAAATATGGTAGAAAATATAAAAAAATAAGATTGCAATTCACATATCCGAAATAAAATGTTTAATAAACATTACTTCCCCTTCCCCTAAAAATGTGAGTCATGGATCACTAATAGTGAAAATGCTTGAAGTACTTAATACTTAGAGTATAAATGTTTATAGCATATATTTTGTTTTGGAATGAATTAGTAATTTATTTTGGAAATGTGGAACAAGCAAGCAAACAAACAATATATTGATATGTAAGGCAAAGCAAATCAGAGTCCCCCTAAATTCTGATGAATACTTTGTGGTGGCAAATAGGGCAGGATGCTAAATAGTTTGCATTGCAAATCTACAAAAATAAAGAATCAATTAACTGTACTTTTGTGATGTATTGCTTAGAATTAGTAATTAAATCAAAGCATCAAAGATGAGGAATAAGTGAAGAAATAGTTTACATTATAAAATATAATTTTAAAATTTTGACCATGAAATGTTTTCATCTAACAATATCATTAAGACACAGGACTTCAAAAAAAAAAAAAAAAAAAGACACAGGACTAGTCACATAAAATTAACCATGTTAGCTATATATTAGTGAATGTGATTATTTTACATATTATTATATTCATGAGATGATATTAAATCTGTTATAACTATGAATCCATGTATTCAGCCATATTAATAATAGTCATAATATCAATTGCTATCATCTGTATATTCTTTTACTTTAGTTGCTTGTAAAGGGCCCTCAGCAGATATCTGTCAAACGGATTCTTCTTTTTAATAGCCAAATTCTCCCATAGCTTGGGGGATTTGGTGAAAATCATCTGGACTGTTATTGTCCTTAATCTAAATTAAGTGTTGTTTATGCTCTGCTAGAAAGAGTGTCTTAATTGATATCTAAATTGGTTAAGCTCACTAAAAGCAGAATATAGGGATTTTAAATTCTCAGCTGCTGTTAGGGTAAATGAGTTAACACATGGAAAGCCCATCAGTACCTTGATCATAGTAAATATTCAGTAATACTCTTATTATCATTTTGAAAGAAAAATTTCTTAAGGTACTATATGTTTATTAAGACATGACTAATCTAAGAAAAATAAAGTCATAGCCTAGACTTCATGTTAAAAGAAAAAAAGAAACACTAGAAAAATATCTTCAGTATTTAAGCTAGGCTCCAATGACAGAGCCATAAAGGGAAACACTGAGGAATTTACCAAATAAAATTTAAAACATCTGTGTTAAAGAAAATGTTCAACACATGAAAAAGTGCTCAAAATCCCTTGGCATCAGGGAAATACAAATCAAAACCTCAATGAGATACCACCTCACACCAGTCAGAATGGCTAAAATTAACAAGTCAGGAAATGACAGATGTTGGCAGGGATGCGGAGAAAGGGGAACCCTCCTACACTGTAGGTGGGAATGCAAGCTCGTGCAGCCACTCTGGAAAACAGTATGGAGGTTCCTCAAAAAGTTGAAAATAGAGCTACCATATGATCCAGCAATGATAAGAATATCTAATCACTGAATTTGTTGAAATACTACACTACTGGGTATTTACCCCAAAGATACAAAAGTAGGGATTCAAAGGGGTACGTGCACCCCGATGCTTATAGCAGCAATGTCTACAATAGCCAAACTGTGGAAAGAGCCAAGATGTTCATCGACAGATGAATGGATAAAGAAGATGTGGTATATATAATGGAATATTATGCAGCCATCAAAAGGAATGAGATCTTGCCATTGCAACGACGTGGATGGAACTGGAGGGTATTATGCTGAGCGAAATAAGTCAATCAGAGAAAGACATGTATCATATGACCTCACTGATATGAGGAATTCTTAATCTCCGGAAACAAACTGAGGGTTGATGGAGTGGTGGGGGTTAGGAGGGATGGGGTGGCTGGGTGATAGACATTGGGGAGGGTATGTGCTATGGTGAGCACTGTGAATTGTTCAAGACTGTTGAATTACAGACCTGTACCTCTGAAACAAATAATACATTATATGTTAAAAGAAGAAGAAGAAAAAGAAGAAGATAGCAGGAAGGGAAAAATGAAGGGGGGAAATTGGAGGGCGAGACGAACCATGAGAGACTATGGACTCTGAGAAACAACCTGAGGGTTCCAGAGGGGAGGGGGGTGAGGGGATGGGTTAGTCTGGTGATGGGTATTAAAGAGGGCACATACTGAATAGAGCCCTGGGTGTTATACGCAAACAATGAATTATGGAACACTACATCAAAAACTAATGATGTAATGTATGGTGATTAACATAACATAATAAAAAAAGAAAAAGAAAATGTTCAACAAAATTAAATCTAAACAAACTTAAAAACATATATGCAACATGTTATAAAGGGTTAATATCCTTTATAAGTAAAGAACTCTTATGAATTGACTTTAAAAAATGAGAAAGGTACGAAAGAAAAAATAATTGCCTGAGGATAAACGTATAAAAAATGTTCGAACCAGCTAGCAACCCAAGAAAGGTAACTTAAAACAACTACAAACTGCCATTTTAAAATCAATTTGGTTGGTTTTTTTAAAATAATGATACGCAGTACCTTATCTGCATATCCAACAATTCAAAAGTTCTAAAAACTGCCTTTTGTAACTCATTTGGCAGCAAAGCGTAACCTGACTTGGACACTCCGGAAGCAAAACGGTGTTACCTGATACGAAGTACTCCTTATTTGTGCCTTTTAGTGCAAATTACATAATTATGGTTGCATAAATACTCATGTGTTTGATTATTAACTGCTTTCCCGGACTCTGCTCGGAGTGTTACGGGACAGAAGGCATTTGCATCATGTTAACTTCTGAAAATCAGAAAAATTCTTAATTCCCAAACCTAACTGTCCCTAAAAGTTTTGGATGAAGGACTGCAGACCTGCATTTAATTTGACAGTACAGAAAAACAAAGTTATTCAGAAACCCCCAGTGAGATTACAAACTGTTCTATTTTGTGAGTGGGACAGCGATAATCTGGCAATTTATATCAAAAGCCCTAAAAGGGTATATGCCCTTTACTCCCAAATTCCACTTCTAGTAATTTATTACTATTAAATTATTAGGAAAATGATGAAAGATTTAGGTTTTAGTAAGTCCAAGACAGATGGTATATAACAGGTAAAAACTGGAAAGTCCCAAATACTCAGTGACAGAAGAGGTGGGGTCATCCAGGCTCTAGCCACACTACAGACCACTGCTTGGCCGCTTTTAAGTGATATTGTACAGTAATGCTCATTCACATTGAAGATGCCTGTGGTATCTTGTTAGGTAGAAATACCAGGCTCCAGGGCGCTTGGGTGGTTCAATTGGTTAAGCGACTGCCTTCGGCTCAGGTCATGATCCTGGAGTCCCGTGATCGAGTCCCTCATCGGGCTCCCTGCTGAGCAGGGGGTCTGCTTCTCCCTCTGCCCTCTTCCCTCTCGTGCTCTCTGTCTCTCATTCTCTCTCTCTCAAATAAATAAATAAAATCTTAAAAAAAAAAAATACCAGGCTACAAAAACAATATGCACTATATGATCTAATTTCTTAAAAAAATATTTGTATTCATCTATGTCTAAAAATATTCAAAGGATATTCACCAAAATATTAACAGTGGCTATCTCTGGATGGCAACATTGCAGATGTTTCTAATTTTCTTTTTATAACTATGCCTTGTCTATAGTGAACATGTGTTATTACTACAATAGTAAGACTTGTAAATTTCATTTAAGTATATCATATAAAGCACGCCAATATATCTGACTTAGATTCCAAGTTCTCTCTCTATATATAATTAATATCTATCAAGAAAAATATAATATTCATCATACTTATAAGAGTTAATAATTATAAAGGCTCATTGTGTTTGGACAACAGTATCATAAAGCAAAGCCTTGTTTTCAAATAGCGTGTTTTTGCTTATAGAAGCCTTTACAGTATTGTTGATATTTTAAATGTGTATGTATAAAAATTAGCCATGAAGAATGGGAAATGTAAATCATACTGCCAAGGAAAGTGGGCCTACAGTTTCAGACTTTATAAAAAAAATATGCCCAGAGAGCGTATTGCCAGCATTCATATTCTGACCCATGTGGAGAGAACAGCAAGCTAACCATCTTGAATCATGGGACGTCAATTGAGAATTTATAATGCGTTTGTTTCAGTCATCAGAAACAGTTTGCAATCCTCGGAAATGTATTTTGACAATAGGATCTTTATCCTGAAATACTCCTTTTAACAATACAAATAAATAAGAGAACCGTATGCACTTTCAGGAAAGCAATTTGCCTTCTGTACTGCCTTGAGTGGTGATAACACGAGGACGTGCCATCCCACCGCTTGGCATGGGATAAACAGCTAGACCCAGCAGTATATCTGCGGAGAAGACAGCTCTGTGTCTTAACTCCCAATTTTTAAGTCAGTGCTTCTTGTAGTTCCTACAATATGCGTCAGAAATTTGGTGCTGACTCTGAATGCTTTATTCCACTTTGGTAGACTACTTCTGCAATCCGTGAACAATTAAATTGTATTACTTTTTATTAGAAATTGTGATATCTGTTGCTTCTTTACTGAAAGAAATAATTCTTTATTTTTCAGAGCTTCCATATGGCTGGGAAAAAATTGATGATCCCATATATGGCACTTATTATGTTGAGTAAGTCTTTAAGTTTCCTACTAATTTGTTATTAATATGTGGTGAAACTGTTTTAGTATTTCAGTTATTGAGCATGTGTGGCCAGCAGCACCTTTCCTTTCCTTTCATCTTACTTTAAAGTATCCACAAAGACTCTAACAGCCCCAGCGAGCTGTCTCTTTCTTCTCCAGCTGGCTAATTTGTCATTCTTTTCCTTTGACTCATGATTCTAAAACACCAATTGGAAAAGTGTTTCACGCTGTCCTCCAAATGAGTGATAATTAAAGATATCAAAGTAAATGCCGTTCATTTTGCAATCAAAATGTTGGGAGCTGACTAGTTGTGCAAAAGAGATGTTCTATTAAACTAGATTTCAAAACCAGTTAGATGAAGCAGCCATACTTTCCAGTTGAAGGATAAAATAAAACTTAGATCTGTTTTGTTTTGTTTTGTTTTTTTCTGTTTTAAGGCCCCATTTCAAATCAATAGTATTCTTTCTGTAGATTGGACTTTTATGTTATCTAATGGAGGTTGCATTGCTTTAATGTATCTTAGCATATGAGTTATCCCCTCTATCCATTATTTTATTTCAAATAAAGCCCCTGTTAGGGATTAAATTATATACACATTAAGGAAAATCAGGTAATATTCATAATTTCCAAAAGTTAAATATGCAGCTTACTTTTCTAGAACCCCCTTTTCTGATAGAGAATTTTTTTTTATTCCTCCTAGTATGTAATGTTGTTGATGTTATTTGGGTGAATAGCAAAGCCTACACATTGCTTAGGAGAAATGTACTACCCAAGAAATGCAGAGACTGAAAAACTAAAGGTGTTCACATTATTTATCAAGGTCTAACTCTGTTTTCTCTAATCACATTCTGTTTAACAATAATAATCTAGATGGTCAAGGGTTAGAGATTAATGACATTATTGCTAAATTGTTTTGCTAACAATATTCAGTCCCTGAGCTTTTACTAAGTGTCAAGCCCTTCTTTGTGCTGGGGAGGTACTGATGAGTAAGTCCTGTGTGCTTCCGGCCCTTGAGCAGCTTTCTCATGAGCTTGGGTACTCTGACAACCATCTTCATTTGGAAAAACCCCAATTATGGCACCACAGTCAGTCATCTCCAGTCAAGGTGAATTCACCTCATTTACCACATGCACTTTTCTTATATAGTATCTAGTGCTCTGATGTCAGGTGGATACTCAGTAGAAGCAAAAAGTAAAATAAATGCCTGGAGGTGTCGCTAATTGCAAAAATAAAGAGACATCCCTTGCATATAGTTATAAGGCCCCCTGCTCCCCCTACATTGCTAATCAATAAAAATACACGTATTTTAATAATAATATCGCTGCAGCTTCTGGATAAATGTATCAACATTGCAGGTTTCCAGTAAATGCTAGCTAGTCTTAAGTCACTAAATCAGGCTGTACTATGCCTAAGACTATTACATCGGAAATCCAAGGTAGTTCCAGGTAAGGAAAGAGAACTGAGGGATGTGACAAACCAGATCTCATGTTTAATACACTTCCTTGCAGAATTCATTGAATGAGAATTTTTTCTTTAGTCCAGATATTAGCAAATTACAGCAAGAGCCAGAGAGCAAATATTCTGGGGGGCCATATGACCTGTCACAACTATTCAACTCTGCCACTGTAGCTTGAAAGCAACCATAGACAACACGTAAATGAAGGGGCATTAGCTACCATCTAATAAAACTTTATTTACAAAAATAGGCAACTGGCCAAATTTGTCCTACCAACCCCCACCCAATTCTAATTCTTCAGATTCTTCTTCCATGTCCTCAACTGCTTTCAAGCTGGATTCAGTGTGGAAAATAATATTTAATTCAAACCTTTCTTCTCTGCCTTAATTATCTATCATAGAGGTGAGACACCCAACACATCAGAAAGCAATGCTTCCTACCTTCTCTTTCATTGAAGTGTGTGTTCTTCATGTAAAGAGCTGCTGCTGGTGGACCCCTTGTAGTTAGTTACTGAATTGGACACTAGCTGTGACCCTAAAGGATAATTGTCCTCATTATTTTTATACTTCAAATGATTGTCTTTTTTATTTGTTTTTGCTTAAATTATATTTCTGTCTGCATTTCTCTACTTCAATTCTCATGCATTCACTGTCAGAGTCAGAAATTGTTCATAAGTTCGCCAGTCATGTCTTATATCATTAAATCAGTCTAACACATTTAATAACTTTAGATTTCAAGTGATTGTGACGTCATAGACACGGGTCTTGTGAGTCAGATTTAACTTTCTTCAGATTGCATCCAGTTCTACTACTTGTCATGGTTTTTTCCCCGTTACACGATTCCATAACATATACTAACACCAATAATTAGATGTGTGGGTGTCTCAGACTGACTAGAAAATAGAGACAGATAATTCAAACCTAAAGATAATTTTAAGTAGAATTATATTCCAGTATTGCTCAGAAACATCCTTTGGAAAAAATTCATCAAAACAAAATACCTCAATTTATTCTATATAATGTAAACATTACTTGAAATCAGGGATCTCTTCCATCACAACAAAGACAACTTTTCCATTTTACCTGAAAATATCTATTTATGTGGTTTGTTTTAACTGTTCAAAAGAAAATGAGTTGCATCTCCATTACACTACTATTTTCACAAGGTATGTATTGGTTCTAAATAGTAGTCTTGTTTGTGGAAACTATATGAATACATATGTGAGCATAGTGGTTATTTGTCACTTTCAGTGCACAGAGTATTTTTGTTAGAAAAAGGCCACCAAGTTCTTACAGTTAATTATACAGAAAAACAATAACTGTCTAGTTTAAGGTAAGTTTCTATATCAAGTTTTCATTATAGACATCATAAGTATAAGATATAATATGCCTAGATTAAGACACTTCAGTTAATTGTAGTGATAACATTGATATCAATATCTTGGAATCATATAAATTTGTCATATTAAAATTCAGTTAATGTGAGAAAGCAAGGTGGTCTTCATTGTAAATCCGTAGCCAAGAAAATGTTGATTCACTAATTCTATTCGTAATAACAGTCAATGGGTTTTCTGTAGAGCTAGCATTTTTGGTGTTTAGTTACACACTCACTTACACAATTAGAGGTGCAGTTACAGAATATGACAGACATTCCACCCTCCCACCTCGTGGCAAAAAAAGTCTGTGCTGGGACACCAGAAGTCTAACTTGGCAGTCAGCTGCTCTCTTCAAATACACTAGCCTACTTGGGAGCAGAAGTTGGACTGTGGTCCCTCTGTGTTCAGCAGGTCATGTCAGGTTGAAACGAGCCCATGCCTCGGACATAGTTGCATATGCCCTCTTTCTCCTTGTCAGCCCCAGACAAGCAGATAGGAGTTCCAGCAGTCAACAGCAGGAAAGTGTTTATACAACTTGAAACTGAAAAGCCCGGATTGAGTCGTTTTTGACCAGCAGTACCGACTTTTCCTTTCTATGCCATAATTCTGTCCTCTGCAAATTCAGTTTTAAGATGATAGGTTTAATGTATTCAAAAGTCAGAAAAATCATCAGCACCATCATCGTTACTGTATCACCAAAATAGTTACCATTTATTGAGTGACTGCTTAGTATGTGCCATGAACTGGGTTAAGCGCTGGACAGTCTTTACCACATTTGTAATCCTCACTATAGCGATAATGACGTAGATTGTCTTAAGTGTGCAGATAGGGAGATGCTGGCTGAAGAAGTTAGGTAGCTTACCCAGTTTCACACATTATTGAGAGGAATGGCTGTAATTTAGATGTGGGCACTCTGACTGGAGAGCTTAGACTCCAAACTCTTGCTCAAAATCATCATCCGGTAATGAGCATTCAAAATCGGTAATATTGTAAACAAGCCTCTGTGACTCATCACTCAGAAGAATGAGGAGTCCCTAGAGAACGTCTGCTCTCTGGCCCACCTCTAGTAGTTTTGCGGTCACAGAAAGATGTCCAACAAGGGGAGGTCATGCTGCACACAGCCGGGGAGACTCTTCTGACCCAAGCATTCTGAGCCTTTCGCTCCATTACCAGTGGCTCGGGAGGGGCTCTAGACAAGATGGCCACTGGTAGTGAGACTTGCAGGGCCTGAAAGAAGAGGCGCTCATACTGGGGGGACCTTAACACAGGGATGTTGGCACTGGGTGGAGCAGCAGGGGCTGTAGAGAACAATGGGCCCCACTTAACATCTGCATCCGCAGACAGGGCAGATGGAGCAAGTCTGTACTCCGTGGAGCAGCAGAAAGAAGTCAGCCCAATTTTTCCTGACAGACACCAAATCCATGAGAGTACAGCACTTAGCAATGTATTAAGAAGTCCTGAAGTTGCTAACTAGAAATGTAACTGTCACTGTTCATAAAGAAAAGAAAAAAAAAAAATTCAATGAAAAAAGTGCAAAATGTAGAGTTGAACAGCTGTGACTTTTGTACCAATGTGGTTTTTTCCTCCTCTTTTGTGAAATTATGTCTGCTGGGTACGTTTTGGTTTCAATGGCAGTTACACAATTTGCTTAAGTAGCTAGTCCAGAAGACACAATTTCCTGGAGCAGCTTTCATGCAAAGCTACCTCCTCTGGCACAGAGGGAGAAGCAAACCATATAACTACAGTTAGAGCGATAGTGGGGACTGACAGATGTGATTTTCATGGAAAGGTTTTACAAGTTTTTCATGTGATGTCACACATCTGCTACTCTAAAATGTTACTTGTGTACAATTCCAGAAAGTCTGAAAGATACCGCACAATATCTTCAATGTAACATTAAATGTAAAAGGAAAATCACATTCATTTCATGGCTAATGATGAGTATTCGTCATGATGTTGACGAAAGTAGCTAGAGAGGATTTCAGCTCAGTATCTTATCCTAAGGATGTTTCTCTTCTTCGTGGCTTTGAGTAGTTTTCTAAATTTTCCCAGAAAAACTTCCTAACTTTAGAATTTTTTACAAGTCAGCATGAACGTAAAACATCTCCAATTAGAAATAAACAGAAAAGAATACCCTTTAAAAAACCCTGTTTGTTCT